GGTGGGCGCAGGGCAGAGAGAAGGGCCCCCGCAAGCCGGCTCTCTGAGCCACTCCCCACCCTGCGGACAGGTCGCTGTGTCTGCCCTGGAAGCTGCCTGGGCTACACTGCCCCTCCCCCCTGCCCCACCCACCCTCCACCCCTCTCCCTTCTGGTTAGTGCCAGGCAGGAGTCGGGAGCTGCCGGAGAGCCCACCTTCATGAAAAGACACACACACACACACACACACACGTGGCTCTGACATCCCCACCCATCATCACCTCATTCCCCCAGAAACGTCAGGAGCCAGCCTGCAGCCTGGGCACCCCGGACCCTCTGCAGTGAAGGGACCTCGACCCAGGCCCCAGGCCTCCTGCTGTCCAGGCCCTGAAGGAGCCCCAGGCCTCCCAGAGCGGGGTGGGTGGGTGGCCTCACCCGAGGCCAACCCAGGCCTTTGACAAGTCCTGAGAAAGGGTCCCTGGAGGGTCTCCGGGGATCAGCGCTGGGGCCTGGGGCTGCAGACGTGGGGTCCCCCGGACTGTTGAGAGTGGGTGGTGGGGTCAGGGCAGAGAGCCAGGGCAAGCTCCGTGCAGGCACTGAGCTGAGACTGCAGGGGGACATGGCCGGATGCTGGTGATGGGTCGGGGCCCCACGGGTGCTCGCAGGGCGCTGGGGCACACCTAGCGTGCGACCTACTCCGCCGGAGACCCTGGCCTAGGCCTGAGCCCTGGGAGCCACGAGAGGTCTCAGAGAAAGGGGCCCCAGAGCCCTCCGGCCAATCTTCGCGAGGAGGCTGGGTGCAGCAGCTGGTCCTGGGCGTGGCCACAAGCCTGCAAAAGCAGCGGGAGCCCTGTGGGTGGGGTTGGAGGAGGGGCCCTGTCCCCGCCCCCCTTTCCACCCGAGCTGTGCTGTGTTGGGGCTCGGGGCCGATGCAGGGCCTCCGATGCCAGACTGGGTTGGGGAGCCCGCCCTGCAGTGGCCCAGGCAGGGGCCTCCAAACCTCAGCAGGTGACCGGCAGCTTCCTCACCCACGGGGTGGGCGGCACCAGGCCAAAGACTCAGCTCAGGTGTGCACTCTGCCCTGGGAACCCACAGCTGGGGCTCAGCTGAGCCTGATGGACGTGCACAGGGCCCTTCCCCGCTCTCACGCTCACACACGGCCTCACGCTCATGCTCCTGGGGAACAACCAGGGCCGAGTCCGGACCGGGCCTGCAGGTCGGGAGGCTGTCTGCAGGAAGCGCCTGCCTGGCCTTGGGGAGAAGCCAGCAGGTGCAGTGGGAGGGAGGGAGGCAGGTGCAGGGGTGGCGGTAAGGGCCCTGCTCAGGTGATCACCCCGGAAAGCCTGGGCCCCTTCCCTCCCCCCTCTCCACAGGCAGAGGGAGGCTGGCCAACTGGAGGGGTCGCAGCACGGGGCTGGCTGGGACTCGGTCATCCTGGGATGGCGCCCCGTGGCGGTCGCCCCTGCAGCCGGTGGCAGTACAGGGTTGAGGCTCCTGTGCTCCAGCCGGGTCTTCTCCCCATCCCCAGGGCAGGGGGCAGAGCCGGGCCCACTGCCCAGCTGCAGCCCCCGCCCCACAACTTTGCCCACTGACCCAGGCTCGTGGGGTGTCCAGGTGGGGGCACTGGTCTCCTTCTGATTTGCAGCCCTGGTCCAGGAGCCAGGGGAGAGAGAGAGGGAGGGGCGAGCAAGGGGGGCCAGGCGGCCACTGTGAGCCGGGGCGGGGCTGGCACTCCAGAGAAAGGAAGCTCAGACTTGGGTTTCTGTCTAAAACCTGCCCTGTGAACGGGGGCTGCGCTGGGGGCCCAGGGGAGGAGCTTGCTCAGCCGCGTCGCCCTGTCCCTGAAGGGTCCCAGCTGGTCTCCAAATCCTGGGCCCTCCTCATACAAAGCCCTCCCCCTCCTCTCTCCTGCCAAACCACCATCTGTTGCCATGACAACGGGAGCAGAAAGGCAGGGGCACCGAGCGCTCTCCCCCACCCCCTTCCTTCCTGCTCTCTTCAGCTGGGCCCTGGACTCAGAGCAAGCCACTGGCTACAGCCCTCACCTGCCTCAGAGACCCCTGCCCCCAGCTAGTGGGCATGGCCTCAGCCGCCTCCTGCACAAAAGGCCAGGCGAAGGGCCCCCACTCCAGCTCCCCCCACCCCCTGCCCCGCCATGGTGCCAGCCCTGCTCAGGGCAGGACCTGTCTCGCACTAGGGAATGGCTGGTGCCCTGTCTGGTCCCTGACCCATCTCCCATGCTGTGCCCCCACCAGCGGGGCCCTGGCCTGCTGCAGGCCCAACCCAAGGGGAGTCGCCAGGAGGCCAGCCTTCCCCCTACCCCACCATGAGGCAGGCGCGGGCTCCCGAAGTCCTGGCTGCCCAGCGGGCGGTGCCCAGCAGATGACCAAGCCAGGGAGATACAGCAGGCAGCCCTGCCTACACATGCTGCCCAGATAAACTCCAGGTAGACCAAGGAGACCACCGAGAAGGAAAGCACCGCGCGTGTTCTGCGGCTGGGGCACGGCCATCACAGTGACACGAAGGCACACGGCTGCAGCCACGTCACACCACACCTCTGCCAGGCGGACACCATGAATGCCCCTCTCACAAGGGCCCCAGGCTCAGAGAGGTTCAGTGACTTTCCCGGAAGCACCCAGCCTGAGACCAGGCGGAGTTCAGCATTTTCTTTTTCCTTGTGTTTGTTGAGCCCTGGTTTGCTCCTTAAAACCTGCTTCCCCAGCAATCTCCCCTTCTCAGCAGCTCCATGGAGGTGTCAGTGACACGCACATTTAAAGTGCCCAAGTGTTTCTCCCTGGGCCCTGTGAAAGGGCGTCCCAGCGCCCCGTCAACCCGCCCTCCGCAGCAGCCTGGTCACTGTCCACAGCCCACCTTCCCTGGGATTTCGTGTCAACGGAACCACTGGTAGAGCCACAGCCAGAAGTGACTCAGAGCATCCCACCCCCAGACGGAGGGAAAGGCCCAGTGAACCCAGCCCTCAGATGTGAAGAGCTCCTTTAGAAACCTGCCAACGCGGCTGCTTCAAAGGAGCCAAGGATGAGACCGGTGATTCCCAAGAGAAACACAAACGCCCAACACACCAGAACAGGGGCTTCAGCCAGGCTGGCCAGGCCTGAGCCGGACGCACCCTTGAACAGGCGCGGGGCGGGCTGAGACGATCCCAGTGCAGTCACAGCCCCCCAGGCTCAGGCACAGGCCCTGGCAACAGGGCAGCCAAGCCAGGCTCGAGGCAGAGTCACGGGGGCCACAGGAGCAGGAGGGCCCCGGTCCTCCCCAGTCCGTCCTGCTTTTTCTGCCCAGCGGCCCCCGTGGGCCTGGGAGGTGGGGGCGGGAGGGAGCGGGGACAGCCCGACCGCGGTGTGAAGCCTCCCTGCCCCGTGACACCACGTACACCCTGGCTCCTTCCAAGGGCAGCTGCCCTGGCACCCGCCCACCGTGGTGTGGCCAGGACGGGGCTCCTTCCCACCACAGTGGGGATTCGCTCGGGGCTGTGGAAGGAACGCAGTCACAGAGGGTGGGGCCGCACACAGGGCTGCAGGGACAGAACCGGGGAGGCCCCGGCCGTGCACTGAGGGCCACCCAAGGTCCCCACACCCCCGGGCTGGTGGGAGAGGGCAGGGAGGCCATGGCTTCCTTCCTGGACCGAGGGCCCAGCCAGCAGCGCACCCTCTCCCGAGTCACTGCCCCAACCTCTGCAGCCTGGTGGTTACCATGGTGACCACAACAGGGCTCCCCTCCCCCCTTCCTCCGACCCCAGTGCCAACGCCCCACCCCCGCCAGGGCCCCCCCACAGGCCGACCCGCAGAAGCCGGGGCACAAGGGTGGACGCTTCTCCTTCAGCCGACGCACCCTGGCCAACACCCAGAGCACGGAAATCATCGCCCCTGCCTCCAGGCCGCGTCTCCCCCAGATGCAGCAGGGCCCCCCAGGACATCCCTCAGCCACACCACGGAAAGTCCACCCACGCCGCCAGTGTCCCCAAGGGGCATCCACCTACTGTGTACTCAGCAGCACATCCTGAGAGCCCCAGATACTCGGAGGCCTGACCTGTGCTCCCCAGGCCCCCTCTGCAGAGAGAGATGGAGGGAGAGGACAGCACCTGGGCCCCTCGGCCCTCTGACTGCAGCCTCGGGGTGGGATGTCCAGGGCGACCCGGCGGCCTTGTCTGGGGGGCACGAGTGCTGGGAAACCATCAGTCCTGGGGTGCACTGGGGGACGCGCCAGCCAACAGCCGGCCGGGCCCCCTTCCTGCCCTGCCTGCCCACACTTCCACCCGCTATCGTTTTGAGAGCCTCTGGGAGGAGCAGGGCTTCCCAGAGGCCGGTGAGCGGGCCCCGCATCTCCGCTTCCCATGGTGGTAGGTGACCACGTGAGCTTTTTATTAACTGCTTTATCAGTTCAACGCTGTAAAATTAGCCCAATGAAACATTTTGATTGAATTCAGTGACTATTCAGTAATTCAATCTGGTAAATTGTTGTTGTGGTTTTAAGCTGGTGCCCTAGTTTCAGAAGCCTTAGGACTGGGGGCTGATGCTGGGGTCACCCGCCAAGGGCCTGCAGGAAGGAAGGTGACTGGCCCAAGGGACCCAGGAAGGGGAGGGGTCGGAGGCTTGTGGGGAGCAGGTGGCAGGGGGCGCAGCTGCTGTGAAGACAAGGGTGCCGGGTCCCGCACGCAAGGAGCCAGCTGTACGAGGAGGCTGGACTCCAGGGGACCAAGGTCACACGTGCAGCGTGGACGCCATGCTGTGACGTGAGCATGCACCACCAGCAGCTGTCCAGCCCTCCAGGGACGTGTGGGGGGGGCAGTGGAGGGACAGAGCCATGGTGACCAGCAGGAGTGCCTCAAGGTCAGTGACCCAGCACCTGGTGGGGGGGAAGAGAAGGGGTCGCCAGGACAGGAAGGCTGCCTACAGGCCAGGCCCCAGGGGGCTTCAGCAGCAGACACGGACCGCCCCCGCCCCCCCCACCCCCCACCAGGCCTTCCCTCCTTCCTGCTCCACCCCCTCCAGGCCCCAGGGATGGTGATGGGGTTGCCTTGGTGACGAGGCCGGGATGCCTGCCCCAGGCGGCCCAGGCACACACACCAACAGCCTCTCTGGTAGCAGATGCAATGCCACACAACCCCGCTCACACCTGCCAGGCGTGGGGGGCCCTCCGGGATGGAGCCAGGCCCAGAGCCGCTCACAGCTAAGCCAGGTGTGGAAATACCTCCCAGAAGCCCCTGGGCCTCCCCTCAGCCCCCACCCCGAGGGGCAGGAGCTGCAGGTGACCAGACGCCAGAGGCTGGCCACGCTCCGCCCCTGCCCGCTTCCCAGCTCCCACCGGCCCCCTGGCCACGCCTCCAGGCCCCGACACAGGACACAGCGAAGCCCTGTGCAGGGAAGGCGCCCCTCATCTGCGGGCCGGCCTCTGGTCAAGTGGAGGAAGGAAGAGCCCGCCCGCCTGTGGCCACCAGGCACCCCCGGCAGCCCCCTGGCCGGGCACACCTGGAGGGCTGCCAGGGTTGCCCTCGGAAGCCACGTGGGCGCCCGCGGTGCAGCGGGCAGGGGAAGAAAGAACAGGAGGGTGGGGCGGGGGCCGGCGGCGAGGCGGACAAGCCCTCGTGGCTGAGATCCCTTGTCCCCACTTGGGACGGGATGGGGGCCAGAGGACCACTCTGCAGTGTCAAATCTGCATTTATCGTTAAAAAAAAAAACCCGATCCACGTTTTAAAAACTATCTGCTGAGTTAGTTGGTTTCCCCAGCCACGAGGTAGGTCTGGTGTCCCACCCTCCCCCGGGCCAAGAAGCCTGTGTCCCCACCCTGCTCGCGGGTCGGGGAGCTGCAGGCCCCACCCTAGACTCGTCTCAGGAGCCAGCCGTCCGACACCCCTGGGTCAGGGCGCCTGGGCAGGACGGGAAGGCGCTGGCACCGTGGCACCTGCCCCGACCATGGAGCTTCGAGACCGCTCGTGGCGGGTGCCTGACCTGGGGGAGCCGGGGGCTGAGGCAGCTGCTGGCTGCCCAGGGGCCCGGCCAGTGCTGGGCACCAGATGGACACCAAGGCACTGGGCCGGCCAGGCAAGCCGTGTGCAGGCTGCTCCCACCTGACCCAGACAAGTTCCCTGCCCAGGTCCCTGGGACGGACGGACGGACAGATGGACGGAAGGACAGACAGATGCACACCCTGCCTGCGGTACCAGCAGGAAGTGGGAAACAGGCCTGTGGCCCGAGCTCCGCCCCCGCCCAGCGGGATCAGGTGCCAGGAGAGTCTGCCCATCCCCAGAAGGGCGCCGGCAGATGTAACCTCCAGCGTCGGGTAATAACAGAAGCTGCTTGGCGGTCAGCGGGCAGCTTCTCCGAAGGACAGAGAGGAGGAGAGAGGCAGAGACCCACCTGCCCGCAGCTGCCACCTCATCCTCCCAAACATCAGCCCGGTCCCCGAGCACCTCTGACTGTTTCCAGGAGGCCCACCTGCCCGGAGCTGTCCACGGTCACGAAGCCCAGGCAGGACGCCCACCTCTGCCACCTCCTCCCCCCCCACCCCGGGGCTGGCACTTGCGGAGCAGCCGGAAGGGCCGGGCAGTGGGACCTGCCACTCAAAGGCGCAAATGGGCACGAGGTCTCGGGATAGGAGCCCAGCCCGGAGGGGGTGCAGAGCAGCCCTGCCCTGGTGTGCCACCCACAGGCCCCTGCTCAGGGTCCCCGGGGCCTCTGCCCTGACCCCCCGACCCAGGCAGCAGAGACTGTCCCGCAGGCCTCCCCCCGGCACATCCCCCCAGGGACGGGCAGGCAAGGCGCTCCGTTACGTGTACATCTTTGCACCTGCGAACCTGAGGTTGGCCTCGGCGCTGGCCACGGAGCACAGGCCTGGTTTATGAAGTCCACGACCCGACACCTCCAGGAGACCGCCTGTCCTGAGGTGCACACACCAGAGAACCCCACATGGTCCTGCCAGCACGGGGTCCCCAGGCTCCCACTCTGCTGACCCCGCTGACTGACCTGTCCCCACCTGCCCTGGCCCCTCGAGCAAGGGGAAGCCGAGGGGCACGGGCGCCCCCCGCCGACCACTCCATCCACACCCACTGTGAGCCTCCCGGAGCTGACGGCCCCCTGCACGCCCACGCTGTTTCTGGGGGCCGCTCCCCCAGGGTACAGGCCACTTGGTGTCCAAGAGAAGAGGCACCCCCATGGGGATGGGTGCTGGCCTGCAGCCCCCTAGGCTAGGCAGGACTCACCCAAGTGGTGAGCTCCCGAGGCCCAGCAAGGGACCGCAGAGCCCCCAAGACGCTGCCTGAGGCACGTGCCCACGGCCACCACGCTCGAGGTCCTGCACAGGGCCAGAGAGGCTCCCCAGGGGCCATCTTTCCTCCCCAAGGCCCACTGCAGCAGGAGGCGGGGGGGGGGCAGCCTGGGCCCCAGACCCAGCCTGGACTGGCATGGACAGGCCCAGGAGCCGGCCTCCCCCAAACCCTGGCTGCCCAGTGGGTCGCTCTGCCCAGGACAGGACTGTCCCCAGCACAGAGCCCGGCCAGCTTCCCAGAGGTGCCCCCAGGTGTCCACCGGCCAGAGACCAGCACCTCCCCCAGCAGCACCAAGAGGGCTGCCAACCAGGCTTTGGTCAGCGCAGAACCCCATGCACACCACCTGGCATGGTGGGACTGGCACCCAGAGGCCACCAACCCAGGGTGACTCGGGATGCCACAGCCCCCTGGACAGAAGGGGCAGAGTAAGCCTGTGAGGTCAGAGGCCCTGGCTGGCCCCCCAGCCCCTGCTAGGCCCTGAGCACTGACCAGCCCAGGCTGGCCCCCCCAGAGCCAACTCTCCTGCCCCACCAGCCTGGATCCTGACGGGGGCAGCACCAGCGTCACCGACAGAGAGCCGGTCCCCACGTCCCCTTCTGCAGACGCCAGGGCCGCACACAGATGCCCACAGGAGAGTGTGCATTGCACACAGGGTGGCGGGAAGCAGGGCCCCCGAGGTCAGAGGCCCTACGGCCAGCTGACGCCAAAGACGGGCTGTGGGACAGGGGTCTGAGCAGCCCTCAGGCAGAGGGACCCAGGAGGGGGAGGTACAGACGTGGGTGGCACTGAGGGCAGCAGCCAGCCCTCTGAGGATGCCAAGGACACCGTGTGCCCTGCCAGGGCCGGCAGCAAAGCTGGAAGTGAATCTGGGAACCTGGCCCATAGACCCTGGGCCACTGGGCATCACCCAGAGGGGTCCCTGCGACACGGCTGCCCTGATGCCCAGGCCGACGCAGCCCACGACCGCCCACAGATGCCCTCAGTCGCCCCACGGCATCTGCTGGAGGGTGTCCTGTGCCACTTTATTAGTTATAAATCCCTTGGGATTTGGGGTTTAGAGTCAGCAAACCTCCAATCAGAGACGAGCTCTTGCCCCTAGAGCTAAGCCAGCTTCTAACCCTTCCCATCTGCCCAGTCCAGCCCCACCCCCTCACACACAGGAAACAGTCCCTCCACCTCCAAGGCCTCGGTCCTTCCCAAACGTCTCCTGTCTCCAGTCTCCCTGCCGAGCTAGCCCAGGAGGCTGGTTTGGATGCAGGGGCTTAGTGGGGGTTGGAGCTGGGGGCCTGCCTTCCTGAGTCCAGTCTCAATTCCCCCCAGTGCCCAGACCTGGGGAGGGGGCTGCAGGCATGGACTTTGAGGTCAGAGGACCCTTCCTGTGTGCACGGGGAGCTCCACAGATCAGCGCATGGCAGAACCAGTGGGAGGGTAACACCCGCGCCTTCACACCCACCATATCTCTGTCCCCCTGGGTAGGGGCTCAGGTGGGCAGACCCCTGACTCAGAGGGTCGGTGCACAGCCCGGGCCCCAGCTGGTCTCCCCTCTTGGCTGCCCCAAGGCCATCACCGATGTCCCAGCGTGATGCAGAAACTCCTGCATTTCATCCACCCTTGGGCCACAAGACCCTTGAAATAAGGGGACCCAGGAGGGAGCCAGGAGATGCAACTGGCTGGTGTGCACCAGAGCCTCTCATGGTGTGCCTGCCCCTCCCTGGGGAGCCCAGGTGACGCAGAGCACCCACAGCCTACAGAGCACGGGGCCAGGTGGCCGAGGCCTCCCTGGCTGCTCTGTGCCCCCAACGGCACCCACACCCGGGCGACGGGGGTCTCCAAGGGCTTCTGGATGGGAGGGTTCACTGCAGCAGCTCCTGCCACTTTGGAGACACCAAGCGGACATCAGGGACGCCAGGGACTGCCCTGGAGAGTCACCTTGAATCAACCCCAGAGCCAGAGACGGTGCCGGCAGCCTTGGAGTGCAAGCAGTACTCAGGTTCATGCTCTGTGGGGCCCTGGCCCGCCCCCCGCCCCGGCAGGTCAGCAGCAGCCCCAGGAGAACTGGCCACCAGTTCCTCCTGACCGAGGAGGGGAGTGGAGGCCAGGGTCTCCCCTGGGAGCACACCAGGCAGCTCCCCCCTGCCCACCTCCTCAGCACAGAGCCGAACTCCCACACCGGGGAGATGGGTGCAGGAGCTCGCCCAAGACCCACAGACCCTCCCACAGATCTGCTCAGCTGCAAAGGAGGGCTGGGAACAAACTGCTAACCGCAGCCTCCCTCCTGGGCCGCGGAAGCTGCAGAATTCAGCACTGCCGCGCTGGACAGCTCCCACAGGCGGGCCCAGGGAGAGGGCCTGGCCCCAGGCTGCAGGGTCAACTCAGGCCCCTCGGCGCCCCCTCAGGAACAGGGTGCAGCCAGCGAGCTGCCCCAGCCTCAGCCCCACAAGCCGCCCTGGCAGAGTGCAGCAGAGATGGGGCACCACCTGAGGGCTTGCCGCTGCTCTCCTTGGAGACTTAGGGAGGGGAGGGCAGGGGCCATCCCCTGCACAGTGCAGGGGTCCTAGGCTGCCCGCACACTGCTCACGGGTAGCTGGCCCCTGGACGCAGGGTCTCCTGGCAGCCCACGCTGTGTACGAACACGCTGGCCTTGAAGAGCAATTCCCCCAGGTCACCAGGGCCCACGGCTTCGCACAGAAGCAGGCGCGTTTGGGGAAAGCACAGTGCCCCCAGCGTGAGCCCCGCTGCAGGAGGAGCGTGTGCCCCAGCCTCAAGCAGCCCTGACACCAAGCGGGAAACCCCAAACCCCAGAGAGCACAAGGGGTTCGAGCTCAGCGTCTCCTGTGTGAGGTCACGTGTCGGAGCCACAGGCCAGGCGTGGTGGCAGAGGGCCTGGGGGAAGAGCTGGAGGCGTGGGCCGGGCCTGGGCAGGCTGACTGTCCACCCTAGGCAGTGGGTGCTCAAACTGGGCCTCCGTGACAGGGCCACTGCAGCCAAGAGGGTGAGGCTGCACACGGAGACGGGCCCAGCGGGACGTAAGGAGACCAGGCGCCTGGCGCAAGTTGGTCCAAGCTCCCCAGGAGGGCCTCCTTCAGGCCCCCACCGAGCCTGTTCCCTCACCTACACGCCCCGCCCAGGGCTGCAGTGGCTCGGGACCGAGGGACCAGAGAGTGACCGGCCAGCCGTCCTCACCTGCCTTAGGTCCATGCCCTCAAGACAGAACCTAAACGGGGCACTCCTCACGTGCCGTGACTCCCACTGGGCCTGCACGTCCGTGTGCATGACGGCTGTGAAGCTTCTGGGCTAAGTGGACCCACCACTCCTAGGCAAGGCCAGGCCTGTATTTCTCTGCTCACTGCACGCCGGCACCAATGACCATCACGTCAGGGTCGGGGTGGGAGTGAGGGCGGGACAGACCACAACCACACACCGTTTCCTGACCAAGTGGGGCCCCGCCAGCATCAGCACCCCTGGGAAGTCAGAAACGCGCAGACCCTGAGGTTGAGGACCCCTGGGAGCAGCCCCGGCGCCGAGGCTCCAAGGCCTCCAGACGCCGCACGCGGGGGGCCACGGGGACTCAGGTTCCAGGAAACAGCCCCTACCCGCTAAAAATGCAGCGTTTGACTGTATTTCTGCCAGTTTGGGGAATCAGGGTTAACTTCTCAGGGTACTAATGGTATGGTGCTTCTCTGTCTTTTAGACCCAGCCCGAAATCTTTACATTTCAGGGAAGTCTGGGGGGGGCGGGAAGCAAACTGACCCCGTGTCTGTGCCGCTGAGGCTGGGGTGGGCTCGCGGGGTCCAGGGTGCTCTTCTCTCTACCTCTGCATCTGGAAATGCCCGTTTGCAGAGGGAAATGAGAAGCCGGCTCCCACGGCGGCCCAGGAACATGGGGCCTCCACCCCGGGTGGGCCCCCAGAACAGAGGCATCTGCCGGCCAGAACGCAGCAGGTTGGGCGCAAGAGGTCAGCGGGGCGGGGCCACAGGCAGGGCACCATGTGGCAGAGGGAAGGGACGAGGCAAGCCCCTCCCCAGCTCAGACTGTGCCTCCACCCCCAGGTCCCTCAGCCCTGCACAGCTGGCGGCCCAGCTCTGCCACAATCCGCATCCACTCTCCCCACTCGCTGCCCCATAAACAAGCGATGCAGGAAAATACCACATCCGCGGGGATAAGCAAACACGATGCCCATCTGTCCACCCTCGTCCTGTTTCCCCCTCGGCCCCCTGGGCCTGGGCCGGACGTGAAGGCTGAGCCCATTCTCAGGCCCATGGCCCAAGGGTGACACAGGCTGCCAGCCCCCTGCCTGGTCCCAAGCAAACACATTCCCTCGCGGTGTCGCTCACCCTCACACCTGAGCCACAACGGGACATGGAGGCCTGCAGACGCTGACTTTCCCACCCAGTCTGGGCTGGGGGCCCTGCCCCGGGGGCTCTGCACACAGGCTGACCCCAGAGACCCTGGATGAGCCCAAATGCTCTGTGCCCCCTGGCCGACTCCTGGGGGTGGCCAGAGTGAGCCCGGGACGGAGCGGCCCATTCAGCTCCTTCCTGGCTCCATGGGGCCAGCCAAGGGACTTTCTCTGAATG